CAGAGGTAAACTCTCTAGTTCATTAGGGGTAGGAATCTCTAAGGACTGGGCAAGAAAAAAGGAGGAAAATGGGATGCAAAGACATTAAAAAAACAAAGAAGACTACAGCACTTATAGACCCAAGGAAGAGAGTCAGGCAGTGGAAAACAGAGGGAGTATGTGGAGGGCTGGAAGATGGGAACTTGTTAGAAAATTTGCAAACTACATACAGATTAATTTAGCTCTTAGAGTGCCATAAAAGGGGGAGAGTGGAGGCAGGGACAACAAATACCCTAAGTGGAAATCTGGTTACAATGGCCACCCCTGGCCAATGCTTCCCAAACTGGGGTCAGATGCTGGATGCCAGGGCCTGCTCAGCCACACCACAGCACATGGTCCTGCCACACTGATCTAACCTGATGGTAACTTAAGCCATTTAAAATGAACACATATTACATAGTAAACGCAAAATCCGCCAAAGTGTAAAAAACAAAATGTAAAGTTTACCACCCCCACCCCCAAAGCCCAAGAAGGCAGAAGAGGTAGAGTCACTTTTGTAGTCAGGAGAGAAACGGCAGGCACTGGTCTAGAAAAAGATGGGGCAAGGAGAACGGAAGGTACTCATATTAAGTAGTTTCAGGCACCTGAAGAACTTGGCATCAACAGTTCTCATTTTTCCCACTTGACTCACAATAAAGTCAAATGAAATCTGGAATCTCTGCCCTGTGCTAACATTTGCAAAAAAAAAAATCTTTTTTTTTAAATACTTAAGTCATTTTTCTGATATACCTGTTCTTGTATAAGCCAAATAACTGTCACGCCAAGGCATGGTTCCAAATTAGTCACTCGCTAAGATTTAAAAATACGTCACTCCAAAATTTGCTCCACCACACTGATTTTACCCTATTTCCTCCACTTTCTTTCAGAGTCTTCATAGGAAGACTGACAGAAAAGTTGAGAATCGAATCTAAAAACAACCCTAGATGTACCGTCTGTTTTAGGCCAGGAATGTGTGTGCAGTCTCCCCTCTGTAATAGCCTTTCCTCGTGTCTGAACAAAAAAAGGAACATCTTGAGAAGAGTACTGCTACAAACGGCAAAGATACATGACTTTAAAAGACGGAGAAAGCACGTCAGTCACACTCATCTGCAAACACTTCTGGGGGAAGCCTCAGCCCTGTGCTGGCTGCCACAGCCCCAGCCAACCGGCTACCTTTAGGGATGCTTCATGCAAGAGTACAATTTTGTTTGGGATCAACTAAGATTGCTCGCACGCAGCTCCTTCAAGTAAATTAAAACCAGCAATTGTTCACACGCAAGAGCTTTAGTCATCCTGATGCTTCAAAACAGGTTTGTTACATAAAAGTGGACTAAGCCAGATTATCTGAAAATTTTCTAGCATAATTCCCCAATGCTATGAATTTCAAGGAGAAACAATACCAGCCTGTATATACTTCAATAAGCCAGATTTCTCTCTAAAGCATTTCTTCATTTATCATATAACAAGTTATTCTGAGTAACAAAGATTTTTTTTTTGGTATCATTAATGTACAATTACTTGAACAACATTATGGTTACTAGACTCCCCCTATTATCAAGTCCCCCCCACATACCCCATTACAGTCACTGTCCAACAAAGATTTTTTAAATCCAGAAGATTCTATGCATTCCATGATAATCAGCTACTACTTTTGGGTTCCTGCTTTGAAGCCACAGCACCTACCATTGGTCAATTCTATGATAACCCACCATTTACAAAGAAATCTGAAGCAATGAAGAAACCAACATTGCCAGGAGACTAAGACGTAGCAGACATGGCATTCCTCTGTGATGCCACCTCACCCTCCCAAACAGTCCTTAGGTGTTATTATCATACTTTTTTAATAGCTGAGTTAGAAGAAGCTGGGAGAGGTCAAGTAACTGGCCCAAGGTCTGAAAGCTAGTGAAATGGCAGAAGGCGACCTCACATCCAGAACAACTTCAAAGTCCAAGTTCCGTCTACACTGTCTGCTCCTTTGTAACTGACTCATGACTTACTCTCAACTGGGTTCTTTGTAGATGTCCACCTACAAGGACTTTTTTGAAGACCTCTCTGCTTAACTGTTTCAGAACCCTTGCCATCCTTTACATTGCAACATCTTTTTTATTTTATGTACAGCTGTTATCTAAGTGACAGAGTGGACCCGAGGACTCTCTAAATTTCAAGAGAACTGCAGGAACAGTCAGAACATTGGTATCAGCAAAACCGTAGGGATTTGATAACTTCAAAGTTGATCAGCTACAAAACTGTTGGACAGACTTTCTAACTGTGCAAGTGAGCATACTTAGTTAACCCTGAAAACACCACCAACTGAAAGCAATTACAGCATTCCCAGCCTAAATCAAATCTCAAGCCTTGTAGCCATAAATCTTGAAATAATTTGCATGAAACGCCTGTTGAAAATCATATTTCTCAGAAGGTGTTAAAATAAACACAAAAATTCACACTTTAGAAAGCACTTCCTTTACTTCAGAAATCATTCTCAAGATCTAAGTCTGTTTAATCTAAAACGAGAGCCCCGGTTTCACAAGCTGCCGTTTAATCAGTAGCCTAGTCCCACCGGCTCCACAGACTTCTGTGAACTCTTTTATCTGGAACTGCGAAAGGCTTCCTCTGTACTCTGTGACCCAATATGCCACAGAACAATCAGAGTGGTTTTCTTGACTAAGCACTACCATAATATTAACAACAAACTGTGGGCTTAGAGGAATAGCTTCACACATATAAATACAAAATCTTTCTTTATAATGTGAACCCTGAGAATCTTACAAAAAGCATGTAAATGGTTTTCTAAGAGGCTGATCAGATAAATACAACCTGGACAAAATAATTTAACTGTAATCTTAGTCTGGTAATTTAACTATGTGTGGAAACAGTGGACTTTCTCCCTTTACATAATCTTCTTAGCTAGGACCACCAAGATCTCAGTCTACATAAAGGTCCTTGCAGAAATATAGATTCTCAGAAGAGGCCCCAAGAGAGGGAATAAGGGTCCTGGAGTGATAAAGAGAAGACCAAAATAAAGTTCAACGAAGAAATGCCCTCTTGCCTGATGGGCAAAAGCAGTCTACGTATTTATGAAGTTTTATTATGACTGAATGGGTAAATACCTTTTTCAACGTCCAAACCTAGAAATGATATTGGATGACAAGGAAACCTTGGATAGAAGAACTCAATTTAAGTGCTCAATTTTAGTTAACTGCCTCGTTTCTTTCCCCGTATAAATGCGCCAGCAAAAAAGATAAAATTTAGTATTTTTTCCAGCCCATTTTTGGTAAGCCATGCTTTCTCCAAGGCACTACTATTAACCAGCCTGAAATTTAAGTAGAAAGAATAAGGCCAAGGAAGCAAAGACTCCATGCAACAGATATCCTTAGTTAGAAAATGGCACCCCTACCATCATGTATAGAGAACCAGGCCCAAGGTAATCAAAATCTTGAAAAAATGTTCTCAACACTTAACTGCTCTTTTATCTACCATATATATATGTTCAAGAGGAGTTCCTCTTTCTTAACCACTGACCTCACTTATCAGAATTAGCTCAAAGGTTTTTTCTTCTTCTTGGTCTAATACATCTTGGTCAAAATCCTCCCCATTACCAAGAATAATAATCTCTTTTGGATGAATATACAAACCCCCAAATCTATGTGTGACTGTCCATATTTTCCACAGCATTTAACTCGAGGTACCAATCAGCCATGTGCCACATGTCTAATCATATACTCTCCAAGGAACAGAATATGAAGGGAAAATCTGTAAAAGTTGCTATCAATCACCAAATATTTCTTTATGCTTTATTTATATCAAGATTTGATATTTCTACTTACAGATTAATTTTCCTGGCTGCTTTGGTTTACAACACACCAATAAAAACCCTTAGCTTTTATGATTCATACCTCAATAAAAAAGCATGGAATAAAAAAAATACTTTAAGAAGTTTACAGACACATTTCCATAGGTTGCTACACAGAATCTGTCAAAATACAAAAAATCCAATTAAGTGCAAAGTCATCTGGAAACTTCTTGAATCCCTTTCACATAAATCCTCTTTACCCACAATCTTACTCTGGTGCTAATTTTTAATTTCACCATCAATATCTTTCACTATCAACATCAACACCTTTCCATATAGTCTTTTATAACTCTCTGTGACTCTTACCTAGGCTGCCCACACATTTCTAATAGTCACTCCTCTTTATCTACCAGATCAGGAAACAGATTTCCCTTACAAATATTTGATTTAAGGCAAGTGGCAGAAATTTACGTATTCACTATATGGCACAACGATAATAGTTAATACTCAACTAAAGGGCACTAAATGACATAACCTGGGACGGCTCTTAAAACAATCATATATAGCTATCATTGTAGATGTGTTTGAAAAATATGAATTTACTGGGGATGGTAACTTCCATATTCTGTACCCAGTTAACTGTTGACCTCAAGAGTATTCCTCAAGAGTTAAAAGACCCTAGGAGGTGAAGCAGAAAAATCACAAAACTAAGGGGTTCTAAGACTTGGGTTTTAGTTGTGGCTCTGCCTACAATTTAGCTGTGTCACCTTGGATAGGTCATTTGACCCCTAGGGCTTCGGTATATTGAACTGCAAAATGAAGAAACCAGTCTACATTTTAAGGTCAATTCCAACTCTAAAATCGCATGAATATGAAATTTCAGTCTCTCCTCACTTCAAAGATAAGCAGATGATAATGTCAAATTAGGCTAGATTTTTTTTCCTTTAAAAAAATTATCCAACTTGGGATGCTTTCCTGGGCTGAAGTTTTATGTGGGAAAATAAACAAATGAAAAACGGTATCGAAAAAATGGGGAGAAAATAAAGAAAACCACACACTGACGTAGCTAAAATAGAAACTTCAATCACCCTTGGGCCATTTTGTCAAGTTATTCAAAGGCAGCTACTCGAATCACTGGCTTTCGAAAAACAGAAATATTTATAGAGTTGTTTCCTTCTCATCCCCAGAGAGTCAATCCGAATAAAACGCACTGCGTTTAAAATCAATTTACAACTTCAGAGTAAGTTGAAGGGAGCGAAGCAAACTGCACAGCCCCCAAGTCACTTGGATTTAAGTACGATCAGCGCTAAGAAACAGTTGTTATTGTAAGATGCGAGAAAAGCACAGGCGGCAGGTGACATTTGGAAAGGGGAGCAGAACTACCAGCAAGGTATGTAGGCTGAGGACCTCGGGGCAACAGGTCCCGAGCCCGAACCTCAGCCCCCGGAAGGGTCGGTCGCTGCCGCCCGCTCGCCGCCGCCCCGCCCGCGCCGCCTCGCCCCCGCTTCGGCCCGCGAGCAGCAGCCGCCGCCCCCGCGCCTGCGGCAAAACCTCGCAAGCGCTCGCTCCCCGCGGCCTCTCGACCCGCAGGCCCTCCGACTCTCGGCGCCGAGGCCGCCCGGGCCGCTGCTTGCTCCCCGGGCCCGTCGCCCGGGCCCGCTCACCTGCACCTGTCTGCGGGAGCGGCGCGGCCCGGGCACCGCCGGCGGCCAGGAGCAGCAGCAGCGCGGGCGGCCCCAGCATCTCGCCTCCGCCGCGGCCCCAGGACAAGTTCTCGGATCGCCTCGTCCGTCTGTCCGTCCGTCCGCTGCCTCAGCGACACCCGCGCCGGCTGCTCCCAAGCACACGTCGCTTCAGCCAAACCGCAGCCCGGATCCTGGTCCGCACCCGCTGCTCCGGCCACAGAAACACCATCCTTCCCGCCCGCCGCCTGCCTGCACCGCGGCCCCAGGACAAGTTCTCGGATCGCCTCGTCCGTCTGTCCGTCCGTCCGCTGCCTCAGCGACACCCGCGCCGGCTGCTCCCAAGCACACGTCGCTTCAGCCAAACCGCAGCCCGGATCCTGGTCCGCACCCGCTGCTCCGGCCACAGAAACACCATCCTTCCCGCCCGCCGCCTGCCTGCACCGCCTGCGCCACCGCCGCCGCTTCTCAACAGCAGCAACGGCAGCAACCCTGCGGAGCCGCGCGCCGGGGAAGACGAGCTCCCGCCGCCATGATGGGCTGCGTCATGTGACGTATGGTGGGGGCGGGACCCCGCGATACACAGAGCAGCCAGCCAATCGCCAGTCCCGCTCTGGCCCGGGAGGCCCCACCCATCACCCTGACGGTGCAGGGTGGCCGCAGGGTGCGCCCCCTACAGACGGAGAAGAGCGTGGGCAGCAAGTAACGCTGACAATTATTTTAGATTTAAAAATACCGGCAAGTATAAAGAAAACAATAAAAGCATTCGGCATCCGTCCTGGCTTTTTTTTTTCACAGTATTTGAAAATGTGTAAAAATAGACCTGCTCGTCTTCTGCCTTTTTTACTTGTCATAGCCGTTTTAGGGCTCTTCTCCGTAGGTAGACCTACCTATCCTATCACCCATCAGGGAGCTTTGGGCTTTTTATTTCAATTAAACAAGAATAGAATGCCTCTCCCCTTCACTCAATGACTCAGCTCCCGAGCTTAAGATGTTGCCTTTGTCAAGAACGCCCCTCCTCTCCTCTCTCGGCCACCTGGCACGCTCCTTTTCGGCGGCCCGGGCTCACCTGAAGGATGACGTCACCTAGGAAGGCCCCCTCCCAGTCCCGGGAGAAATGACTAGTGTCTCCTAGTGCCCCGCCCTAGCCCTGGGCCGACTCCTCTCCCAGCTGCCGCATATTATTATATCCGTAACTGTAAGTTCCCTGAGGACAGGAACTAGCCCTTGTCAGCTGGGGGTCCCCGGGCCCTGGCGCAGGGCCTGCCTAACAGTAGGTTTTCTCTGGAGGAAAGGTGCTCCGGCCTGATTCTCGGGTACCAGGGAGGATCAGCATCTCGGTGCGGACCTCTTTTGGACCCACCAGAAGACAAGGCCCAGCCAACAAGGTGAGGAGAGAACATCTTCCAGCAGAAAGGGTAGAGAAAGCACTTTCCAGGCAGAAGCAACATGATTAGAGGCCTGGAGGTTGGGAAAATGGAGAGCTTTTCTGGGGAATGCACTTGTAGTCTGTACAGGAGAGGAGCTGATTTGAATCTTATCAGATGGGACTCTACCAAGTGGCAACGGGGGAGCCTCCACAATTCGTCAAACTCCTCAAATGCCCATCCTAAATGCCAGCACTCTGCGGTGCTAACGCAGTGCTGGACGTACAGACGATGCCCACGAAATATTTGTTAAGTGGCTAAAGCAAAGCAATAAACACCTAGTTAAATAAAAAGCTGGAATGTGAAATGTGGAGTTAGAGCATCCATGGCTATCTGCTCATCTCTGTGTGGCAAAGGAAAGAAGGCAAAGGTCTAGAAAAGAGACACAATCATCCTTTGTGTTTCTACTTCTATCAGGAAGCTCCAGACTTGTAGTTTGAGGAAGCCAGGGAGTGCTGACCCTGTGCTCTGGGAGGAGCCACTGTTTGTGTTTGCTGGAACACTGGCCCGACCAAGGGCCTGCCTCATGATCTTTGTGGTTGTTGGTCATAATTAAAGTGCACCTCAACAACAACATGTCAGACCACAATCCCAAAGCAGGTTTCATTCTTATTTGAGCAAGCCCAAAAGATTTTTTTTTTCCACTTCACAGAACAGGGATATGCCTCAGGCGGTGTCTAAGGTTTACCCTACCATCCACCTCACCACTCACACCTTTGCCCAGTGCTTCTCTTGAAGATTTCCAGTTAGAGAATCTGTAAAATTGAAAACTTGTTTGCTCTCTTTAGTTTCACCTAGAAATTAGAAAACAGCCTTTGGCCCAATTTGGGATTAGATCACTAAGATTGGAAGAAATATCTTGCAATGTTCCTTTAGCCATTCTCACCTTTTCCAGTTTTTCTTCCATGCCAAGCCATCAGTTGGACAACCCTACTGGCATTGGCTGCCCTGCCCTCAAACTCTGGCTGAAGATTGGATGCTGAGGGATAGGGAGTCAGTTTAGTACTGGATGAGTATGCATCTCTGGGGGGCTGGTACCCAGCAGGTACCTTAAATGTTTGCAGGGCTGAAGTGGATCAAATGGATGCATCCAAGAGGGACCTGCTACTGGTATACTGGAGCCAGCAGGTACTAGCTCGTGAAAGGCAATTGTTGGGTCCTCAGGAATTTTTCATGTCAGTTGTTGGACACAGCCATTGTTGAAAATTAAACTGTTTAAACTACACTGAAATAAATTATATTAAAAACCAAGGTAATAAAAAGAAGCACTTTCAGAATGGAAGGCAACAAGAACACTGGCAAAAATTATCAAAACTACTTCTTCAGAATTCTGGAAATTAGCCAAAGGATTGCAACACTATAGGGAGCATTTATTAAAGAAAAATGGCTAAATCTCAGTATGAACTATGAGCTTTGTGGCATTTTCACTTGCTGTATTCCTATTCTTCTCTTCCCATCTCCATGGTAGCTTCAAAAAACAGCAGCCTCACAACCACAGTAGCTGTAAAAATGAGCAGCCTGACAGCCCCTAGAGGGGACAGAACAGATTTGGAGCTCCCCTAAAAGCAGTATCCCCAGAGATTTGTCACTTTATGACTTGTCATGCAGCTTCTTAGAAAGGCACTATTCTTAGGACTTGTCTTTTTTTGACATGATTCAGAACCCCCTTAGTGCAAAGAGCCCTGTCTCCAGTTTGCTGAAAACAATCAGTGTCAATTGTTTAACATCACAGCTTCTTGAGCCAGTGATATCAGTTGGCTGACTGAAAACTTAAAAGAAAAATTTAGAGACTGAAGTGTCAGAAGGGGCTTTGAAAAGCTCCAACATATTCCTGGAAATCTAAAAAGTGATGTGCATGTGGAAGGCTGTGCACATGCCCAGGAAAGACATGAGAAGGCCCAAATCACTCAACCCTGGCTCATCCTAGGGCTCTGTGAAGGCAGGAAGTGGAGGCTGGGCAGAATTTTAAACTGCAGAGCACTGAAGGTATGCTTCATCACACATACAGAGACTTCTAGCAAACCTAGGGAAATATATTGGTTCAAAGCATTTAAGGAAATCTGTACAATCACTAGCTCACCATTAAGCTGGCTGAACAGAGACTTCAGTGACCACACACAATTAAAAAACACATAGACTTCACAGAATTAGGCCAAGAAAATCACTAAACAAATGAATATTGGCAGCAGCAACAATGAAACAAACCCTGGGGAAACGGCATATCAGGGAAAACCGAGTTCCCAAGTTGCCATATTATATGATTTTAAATGTCCAGTTTTCAAGAAAACAATGCAAGACATGCAAATAAATAGGAAAGTATGCTCCAAACACAGAATAAAAAAGCAGTAAGTAAAAACTTGCCCTGAGGAAGCTGAGGTTTAATACACAAAACATACAAATAAATAAAACCTATACATTAATTTAAAACAAAAAAACATAAATCAGCTATTATAAATATGTTCAAAGAACTAAAGGAAACCAGATCTAAATAATGAAAGGTTGGTTGAAAGACATTAAAGAAGACCTGAATAAATGGAAAGACATTCCATGTTCATGAATCAGATTTAATATTAATAAGAAGGCAATACTCCCCATTTGATCTACAGATTCAATGCAATCCCCATCAGATTCCAGTGGGCTTCTTTGCAGAAACTGAGAAACTGATCCTAATACGCATATGAAAATTCAAGGAACCCAGAACAGTCCAAAAATCTTGAAAAAAAAAGAACAAAGTTGGAGGACTCACACTTCTTGATTACAAATCTACAGTAATCAAAACAATGGGATACTGGCATAAGAATAGACACATAGAACAAACAATACAGTTATCTATAAATAAAGTTAAATATTTATAGTCAACTGATATTTAGCAAGGGTGCCAAGACAATTCAATGGGAAATATTAGTTGCTCAACAAGTGATGCTGGGACTATCCACATGGAAAGAATGAAGATAAACCCCTTCATCACATCATACAAAAAAATTAAATCAATAGATCAAAGACCTAAATGTAAGTGCTAAAACTATAAAACTCTTAGAAAATATAGGTGTAAATCTTCATATGAACACCAAACCACAAGTCACAAAAGAAAGATAAATTGGGCTTCATCAAAATTAACTTTTGTGCATCAAAGAACATCATCGAGAAAGTGAAAAGATAATCCACAGAATGGGAGAAAATATTTGTGAAGTATATATCTAATAAGGTATTTATATCCAGAATATATAAAGAACCCTTACAATTCAATGATAAGAGAAATAGTCCAACTGAACAGTGGGCAAAGGATCAAAGGATATAAATAGACGTTTCCCCAAAGGTATACAAAATGAGCAATAAATAAATGAAAAGATGCACAACATTATTAGGCATCAGGGAAATGTGTATCAGTACCATTTCACATACACTAGGATGGCTCTAAACAAAAAAGACAGGTAATCTTAAGGGTTGCTGAGAATGTATAGAAATTGGAACCCCCATACATTGCTGATGCAAATGTAAAATGGAGCCACTTTGGGAAATAGGCTGATAGTTCCTCAAACTGTTAAACATCAAATCACCATATGACCCAACAGTTCTACTCCTAGATATATACCTAGTATAACTGAAGACATGTCCACATAAAATCTTGACCACCAATATTCATAGCAGCATTATTCATAAGAACCAAAGGCAGAAACAACCAAATGCCCATGAACTGATGAATAGATTAATAACAGATGGTATATAATCCTTGAAGTGGAATACTATTCAGCAATAAAAAGGAGTGAGTTACTGATCCATGCTACATGGATGAACCTTGAAAAGATACTAAGTAAAAGAAGCCAGTCACAAAAGATCACATATGATATGATTCCATTGTTACGAAATGCCCAGAATAAAGAAATCCATAGACACAGAAAGTAGATTACTGCTTGCCTTGAGCCAAGGAGGTGGTGGGAGTGAATAGAGAATGACTACTAATAGCTACAGGGTTTCTGCTGGGGGGTGAAAATATTCTAAAATTAAATAATGGTGATGGTTGCACAATTCTGTGAACATATTAAAACCTATTTTAAAGGAATGAATTTTATAGTTTGAATTCTATCTCAAAGTTGTTATTAAAAAGCAAAAGTATAACAAATACTAAAAAGTCATCTATTCCTAGTTATTCTGCTACATTTACTGTTTTCTAGGCTTTAATGTTATTTGCATCTATTGTAGCTATAAAGTGGAGATACTCTGTAATACAGTACAACTGCACACCTCTTTCCATCTCTGGCTTCAGTAATACCATGTCTGTAGCTTGAAATAAGCCATGGTGTGAGTATTTACACCATGGAAATTTGCAAACAGTACTGATCAGGACTG